AAATATATACAGTACTGTGTTTAGTTCCTCATCCAAGCAATAAAACAAGGCTACAGCTGTGTACATTCCGCCAGAAACAACTGTCTCCAGAAATCATGGTCTCATTTATCGCACACCCTTTATCAGTGAGGATTAGTTTGTGCAACTCTGACCTACTTATGCCAGCATGTCCAAACCCCTTTACAAAGGAGAAAACACACTCCAAATTAATGCACACAAGTGATTAGGATTCAGCGGGCAGCTGGCGAGGACTCCAGGCATAAGACAAGGTGAACTGACGATGGTGTACATTTGCTGCTCTCCTAACAGATCTTTAACCTCCCATGTCTTTTACCTTAATAACTACAGTGGCATCATATCTGCCTCACCCTCTGAATTTTGCTTTCTAACACCAGACTCGCACACCTTACAACTCGCAATGTTGTCAAAGGTTATCGTTTCCTGGTTTGGAACACAAAGGTCTCCAGCTCATAACACTCAGCTGCATCACAAAATTACAGACTATAAATTATAAAATTATGAACTTAGAATTGTAGAGTTGGAAGGGATACCTGAGGGACACCCAGTCCAACCCCCTGAACATGCAGGAATCTCAACATGCGGTCTCCCATCCAGTTGGAAACCATAACAGACCCTGCTTAGCTTTGCAAATGTGCTTGCAGATTTATTGCTGCCTTCTTAGCAACAACAGTAATGTATATTTTTTATTCTCTCTAAACCACTGAAAAGCTTTATTTACAATTAACCAGTATACAAATTTTGTTAAGTTAAATAAATAAATGCAGGTTTTCCCCCACATGCTCATGTCAGCGAGCAGCCATGGAACATCTATCTATATCTATCATCTATCTATCTATCTATCTATCATCTATCTATCTATCTATCATCTATCTATCTATCCTATTCAGGCACCCTGAAAATATACATGTTCCATGGCTGCTAGCTGACATGGACATGTGCAAAAAACCCACACTAAACTACTTCTGGCACAATGGGACACAGTGACGGAAGCCAGAGTGCACGGAAACGCCGTTTACCTTACCTTACCTATTTATCTGCTCATGTTGCTATGCTTTGGCCCAGGCAGGAGCTGGGCCAAAGCAACGGGAGCTCACCCCATCGTGCAGATTCGAACTGCCGACCTTACGACTGGCAAGCCCAAGAGGCTCAGTGGTTTAGACCACAGCAGCAGAAAAGACTTTCTTTTACCTTCCCCTCTGTCAATGACCCAAGGCCTAATGACTGAAGACCTAGCTATCTCCAAAGCACTCTGCGCATGCCGAAGGGTACATCAAAGGGCAATTGTTGCAACCTCAATTGATAGCCATCTAGTAAGCCAAGTCAACGCCTGTGGACCCCTAAATAATGTTCTTTCTTGTGCATATTGACGTCCTGCTGATCTGCACAGCCACCGCCCTCTCTGTGCAGCTGCAGCAGGAACAATGCTCACGGCACACTTCAGATGGCGCAGCGTTGATCACCATGCCATGTGCAACAATGACCTTTGCTTCATTAGCATAAAGCATTCACCAGGTCTGCTTTTTTACGTTTGCCAGATGCTGCGAGGCTGGCAATCCTCACACCCACCTAACCATTTGGAGGCGGGGCAAAGTTTGGTGTTTTGTTTCTGACCCATTAGTCGAAATAGGCTCTAGTGTTTTTGTTTGTTTGTTCTGCAAATGATTCTTTGGCAGAACCTGTGCTTTATCTCAGCCTTCCAGTTCCTGCTCATCCATTCGGAAGGAACATGCCTCGTGGTTATCAATGCATTTGCTAGACCGGGGGTGGGGGTGAAAAATATATGAACGCCAGCAATGCCCATGCATTCCTAGCAGTGTCCGAGCAGATAACTCTCTTATCACCCATTTGAACATTCTGTTAAAAATGGCAGCTGTTGTCTCCAGCAAGACAGAGAACAAGGGTATCAATGACTATGGCTATGTTTCACCTCCACTGTCAGAAGAAGTATGCCTTTAAATCATCAGGGACGGGTGGGAATGACAGGTAGAGGGAGCACTGGTGTGCTCAGGTATTGCTTTCAGGTCTCCCACAAGCATGGATGCTTCAGTTGAGATTCCTGCATTGCAGCGGGTTGGACTAGATGACCCTCAGGGTCCCTTCCAACTCTTCAGTTCTAGGATTCTATGGTTCTGTGATCTACTCGGCCACTGTGAGAGGAGGATATGGGACTCGATGGGCCATTGGCATGAGACAGAAGGGTTTGTCTTACGTTCCTACATGCTATTATAATTTTTCCCCCCATCAGATTGTTCCCCCTACAGGTTTCCTGGCAAAGTGCTGCTGTTCCCATCCGTAAAATGGGAATATTATGCCCCCTTCCTTGCATCAATGGATTTTATTTAAATTAGGTATTTCCAGTCCTTTTTTATTTTCTTAAAAAAATGTTTAGGGGTACTCTCATTTTTGACTCAAGAAAATACCATTTTATAGTTCAAATCGGGGGAAATAAATACAGTAAATGGATAAAAGTACAAAGATTCACAAAATGTTTAGGGGTATGTGTACACCTGCATAAAGGTAAAGGGACCCCTGACCATTAGGTCCAGTCGTGACCGACTCTGGGTTTGCAGCGCTCATCTCGCTTTATTGGCCGAGGGAGCCGGCATCATGTGGCCAGCATGACTAAGCCGCTTCTGGCGAACCAGAGCAGCACACGGAAACGGTGTTTACCTTCCCGCTGCAGCGGTACCTATTTATCTACTTGCACTTTGACGTGCTTTCGAACTGCTAGGTTGGCAGGAGCAGGGACCGAGCAAGGGGAGCACACCCCGTCCCGGGGATTCAAACCGCCGACCTTCTGATCGGCAAGTCCTAGGCTCTGTGCCACCCACGTCCATACCCCACAGAAAAAAGGAACTGGGTATTTCTATCCAGCTCTTCAGCTGACAACACTCTCAAGAGTGGCTTCTGCAAAACCAGTATAATCACACACACACAAAAAAAACCCAGCAGCAGTCAGTGAAACATAAATGCAGAGCTGCTAAGTTGGTTCCGTTATTAAATTTGCCCATTGCTTCCCAATGCAAAAGGTGTTCCGAATGGCTTACAGAAGGAGAGTGTGTGAGTTAATCTGAATCCTGTCTGCATTGAGACTGATTTAGCTCCTTTGATGTAAGTCTGTTCTGAGTGGAGAGAAAGGGAGCTATGTCGGGGAGACAGTTAATATATCAGTGCAAGGAGGATATAGGCACATCCATATCTCAGTGGTCGAGTGCCTATTTTGCGTAATATTAAATAATAATAATAAGTGCTATTTTTCTAGAAAAAGAGGTGCCAGAATTGAAAATAAGCCTTGATAAAATATCCCACAGCAAAAAAGAAGAAAGGTACCTAGACATTCTGTTCTGGTGACCGTAACCTAGGTTTAAGGTGGCATTTGGTGATTAGCTTATTTATCTGAGTTTCTGACACTGTTCATGTGCAAGAGATGACAGTGGTACCTCGGGTTAAGTACTTAATTCGTTCTTAACCTGAAACTGTACTTAATCTGAAGCACCACTTTAGCTAATGGGGCCTCCCACTGCTGCCACGCCGCTGGAACACGATTTCTGTTCTCATCCTGAAGCAAAGTTCTTAACCCGAGATACTATTTCTGCGTTAGCGGAGTCCGTAACCTGAAGCGTATGTAACCAGAGGTACTACTGTATTCCATGGCAATACTCTATCCTCCATCCCTCAACACTTCTTTTCAGTTTTGAGTTCTTTGCTTGCACTGGTTAACTTAGGTAGCTTAGACTTTGCTATCCTGGATTCCTCCAGGTGTCTTGTACTACAGTTCCCATGAGTCCCAACCAGCACAGACTGATGGGAGTTGTAGTCCAAAGGCAGCAAGCTGGAGACGACTCAGCTACTTAAGTGAGCAAGCCTTCTCCAACCAGAACACTAGCTGGGTTGTCTCAATCTCCACAACTTTTGAATCTGAACCGATCTGTCACAAACAAGTGTTTAAAATGAAAAGCACCATTATCATCTCATTCACTCACCAGAGGAGGCCTATTGCCATAATTAATCCGTCAGGTGATTTTTGTTAAAGTCTGTACAGTGGTACCTTGGGTTACATACGCTTCGCGTTACATACGCTTCAGGTTACAGACTCCGCTAACCCAGAAATAGTGCTTCAAGTTAAGAACTTTGCTTCAGGATGAGAACAGAAATCGTGCTCCGGCGGCGTGGCAGCAGGAGGAGGCCCCATTAGCTAAAGTGGTGCTTCAGGTTAAGGACAGTTTCAGGTTAAGTACGGGCCTCCGGAACGAATTAAGTACTTAACCCGAGGTACCACTGTATATGGTTTTATTTTTTTCCTGAGGTCAGTAAATCATCCACCTAGTCAACAACCCTAGCTTAGATCGGCCCTCGAGTATGAGCTACCTCATCACACCCATTTGACTGTACAACTCACGTTCCTCCTCTGTTTTTCCTAAACTAAACACCTAATTATCCAAATGCTTTGGCAATCCCACAGGCCATTTGAACAAATGAGGTTGAACTATAGTTGGGATGAGGGAATCTTTGAAAAGCAGGTTTATTAGGGACTAAGGGGTGCACAGTGGGGGGTGAGGTGGAGAAACCTTTCAAGGAAAATGCTCTGCTGTTGTGTTTTCCCACCTCCACCCTCAAAACCTCCTTCAGAACGTAATTTTTCCATCCTCTCGTTTCTTGTCCTTGTGCGATCCTCTGACGCTTGATGGATGAAGAGGGTAATTGCCGATTACTTCATGCGTTTCTGGCAGGAGCGCTTACCAAACGCAATTAAACCTCTGATTTTATGTTCTCTCCTTTATTAATAAGGTTCTTTGCCAAATGTTCGGGGCCAGCCAGTGTCTAATTTTGGATCAAATGGCCTCACTGGGCTTTGTCCTCCCTCGGTCTCTGTCTGAACCAGCTCCGCTACCAGCCAGCAAGAGACGGGTGGCTCTCAGCAGAAGGAAGACATTCACAGGGAATGGTGGCTGTGACAGTGCTTGGGTTTTTTTTATTTTGGCTTAGGGTCATCCACCTCTTTAGATATGGTCACCAAACAAGGCATGAAAGTTCCCAGGGTGGGAGTGGCAGTCTTCATCGATGTTTGGATACCAGGTACCATTTTGTATCAAGATGGCGGACCAAAATGTGACTTTGGCATGACTTCACCTGATTTTTGGCAAGACAGGTCCATTTAATAATCACAATATATTTTTTTTTGTTTCTAAAAATTCCCAGGCAGCACCAAGTCCCCGATAGTACACAATAAAAAGCACATCTGGAGGGTCCTCTCATACTCTTGACCAGGCATGGCCAAACAGCCCTCCAGCTGTTTTGGGACTACAATTCCCATCATCCCTGACCACTGGTCCTGTTAGCTAGGGATGATGGGATTTGTCCCCCAAAACAGCTGGAGGGCCAAGTTTGGCCATTCCTGCTTTTGACTCTTTAGGCTTCCCTTCCAGATCTGATCCATCTGATAAGGATATCCTCTGACCCAACTCAGGCTCCACTTGCAGAACTGTCCATGACTCCACTCAAGTTTCACACATCATAAAAGTCAGGGGTTGTTGTTTTTCTATCTAGAGCATCGTCATATGATTATATATCTAACGAGGGCAGAAATCGCAGCTCTGGAGCTCTCTGGATCCTAAGGGGGTCCTAAGAAAAGAACCATAGTTGTAACATAGGAGTCGGCCTTGACGAACCCATCTGTAAAATGGGTATAAAAAATGCATGGCACTTTCTACAACAAGCCTGGTTTCCATTCACCTTAATGATGACATTCTTTATGCCAGAGCTTCCCTCTTTGCTTCACATGCAACTGCATCACTCTGATAGTTGAAAGCTATCCGTTCCCAGCTACCCCACATAAGCTGCAGAAATTCAAAACATCCCTCTCCATCTTAAGAATTTACTGCCACTTGCATTGCATGTGCAATTAGGATAGAGAAGGTAAAATACTCCTGTTTCAGGGTATTTAGTCTTATCGTATTTCTTCCCGTGATGGCTTTGATCTCCTCGGTGCCGTTTTAGGACAGGATCATAAAACGCACACATCCAAACACCTGCACAAAATCCTTTTTCTAAATTTGTCAGATGTAGGAAATTACTAGCCCATTGTTCTGCATTAGGCACTGCTAGTTACCTCCATTTTGAGGAAGATTAGCCATTTAGCTGTCAGAATGGCTCTTGAGATCCAAGGTGGTTCATTTCTAATCCATTGTATAGAACGGAGATGAATTCTCATGGACGGATTTTTTCTTTTAACAGAAAAACTGTGTGTCAGATTCCTTTTAAAAATGGAATCTCTCTGTTCAACCAGGAGCTGTTGAATTTGGGGGACATTCTTTCCATTTGTTGCATTAAAAGATCAGCCACTCCTTTCATTTTGCAGAAGACCTGAATTTCCTAGGATTAATACTATATGACTATATTTTGGAATAGGCAGCTCAGCCTTCAATGGTAAGCAAGGGCATCATTAGGAGTATCAGTGACGAAACATTAGAATCAACAGGAATTGTGGAGTTCGAAGGGACCCCGAGGGTCATCTAGTCCAACCCTGTGCAACACACGAATCCTGCCCACAGCTGTCCCTGAGTGGGCTCAAACCACCAACCTTCTGGTTAACAGCCAGCTGCACTGACCCTTTGCGCCACCTGAGGGAATTAAAATCCTATTCTCGTTCACAATATAATCTGTGTAACATGTTGCTGTGCCATTTGGTAAGATAATAACACTAGACACTGACTTCTATATTTTGGCCATCTAGCTCAGTATTGTCTTCCCTGACCACCACCAGCTCTCCAGGGTTTGGGACAGGAGACTCTCTTCTAAATGGAGATGTCAGGATTTGAACCAGAATATGGGGACGTCACAAATGGGTTAGAGTGGTCTTGCACTCAGGTCCTGCTTGCGGGCTTCCTGAAGGCATCTTGAGATGCCACCGTGAGAACAGGATAGTGGACTAGATTGGCTATGGGCATGATCCAGCAGCCAGCTTCCTCTTATGTTCTTAAATAAAGGAGAAGCAAGGAGAGGGCCTTCTGGCGGTTCCCTCACTGCGAGAAGTGAAGCTACAGGGAACCAGGCAGAGGGCCTTCTCGGTAGTGGCACCCTCACTGTGGAACACCCTCTCATCAGAAGGAGATGATTAACAATGTAACATTTAGAAGACATCTGGAGGCAGTCCTGTATTTTTAATGTGTCATGCTTTATTATGTTTTATAGATGTTGGAAGCTGCTTACGGTGGTTGGTACAGCCCAGACAGATGGAGGGGGTACAAATGTAACAACAACAGCCATCAATTTAGATGGCTTTAAACAGAGATTAGACAAAGTCATGGAGAATGAGGCTCTGAATGGCTGCTAGGCTAATACAGAGAACTTCCCCAAACTATGGGAAAGCAATGAACAAAAGCAGAGGAATGCCAAAACAATGGATATCATGTATAAAAATGACTTATGAAATAGCAAGGCAACTGTCCTATGCAAATTAGGCTAATTGTCATATGGTAATTTGTACCAAAAATAAATTATGATGCCTAAGAGAATAATATAATTCTGCATGCTTATTTTGTTTGTGTTTAATAGATAAAGCTTTAAAAAGTATCTCATGTTTATTTATTCCAGTACGGCACAGGTACTTGAGCTGAAATATGTGAGGGTGGGGGAAAATAAAGCATACTTAGTTTAAACTCAGAGTAGACCCACCAAGACGAAGGAACGTAAATATGACTTACATTGGGTGTCAACCATGCAGAAATTTTTATTGGGATAATTATAAAAATTTAACGACAACGGAATGTACTTCCTTTACATTGTTCACATTTGAGGGGAAAAAGAAATAAAATCAAAAGGCACTGAAGCAGCTGACACACTAATAATTTAATAACTAAATAAAGGAGCAACCTGTATTCTCTCATATACTTACTAGGGACAATCCCTTGAAAGAAACATTAATGACAACTTTGAAATGTCCAAGCTTGTCCTAATACTGTTTTTGCAATGGGCATCCATTCATTGCCATGAATGACGTTATGAAATGGGAGATTTTCACTGCCCCAAATGTTGCTGGGAATGCACCTGCCCCACTCCTGACACTAGGTGCATTCAGATGTGAGGAACATTGCATTAGTTTTCATGGTTATAATGCTAGTGCTTCTCTCCTGTTTTCTAATGTTCCTTGCGCACTGTAATACCTGTTGTGTTATGGAACTGTGGCTTTTTGACCGATACATCCGCATAGAGCAACTAACCCCAGAATCACAGAGTTGGAAGGAAGCCTGCAGATCATGTAGTCCAGGCACGTCCAACTCCCAAGAGACTGCGATCTACTCTACTAAAAGACTGGCAGTGATCTACCCATTGTCATTGGGGGACTGAGTTGTTGAGCTTTTTTTAGGGAGCCGGAGTTGTTTCAACTTTTATTAGGGAGGAAGAACCAGAGTTGTTGAGCTCTTCTTCTTTTTTGAGATCGCTCAGAAGAACAGGAAGAGTTTGGATTTGATATCCCGCTTTATTACTACCCGAAGGAGTCTCAAAGCGGCTAACATTCTCCTTTCCCTTCCTCCCCCACAACAAACACTCTGTGAGGTGAGTGGGGCTGAGAGACTTCAGAGAAGTGTGACTGGCCCAAGGTCACCCAGCAGCTGCATGTGGAGGAGCGGAGAAGCGAACCCGGTTCACCAGATTACAAGTCCACCACTCTTAACCACCACACCGCGCTGGCTCTCAGGATCCAAAGATCAACCACAACCGACCAGGGACACCCCACAATTGACCAGTAGATTGTGATCGACCGGTTGGAATTGCCTCATCTAGTCCTGAAATGCAGGAATATGCAGCTGGTCCTTATGGGGTTCGAACCTGCGACCTTGGTGTAATCAGCACCATGCTCTAACCAACTTAGCTATGCTGTGCTAAGTTTCATTCACACCAGTAGGCGTAGGATGGTGCGACAACAAACACTATCGGACAACATCGCTGCTGCCCTACCCTTTCTGCACATGAATGCTTCTGTCCCCCCCCCCCCCCATGAAAACATTGGGAAAGATCCATATGCCGGTATACTTACTCAAATTTCATCACTTTACCCCCCTAATCTTCTGGCAGATGGGACTGCAAATGGATTTTTTATGGAGTCAAATGACACAAAAATGAGCGCTAAACACGACTTACATTCCATTGGTTTTTCAGAAGCAGATTTTTTTCCGTTGTGTGAAAGGTCAAAACTTAATGCAGAAATTTGCAGACAGGGAAATGCCGGAACAATGGAATAAACTTCGGTTTAAATGAAGACACAGGTCCCACACTGAACAACCACTTTTCTATAGACTCCGCCCTTGACTGCCACTCTGGCCCCGCCCATATGCAAAGCAGCCACCGACTCTCCCATCGCCTCTCCATCGAAGTTCCTTAATGCAGAATGGAAATGGAAACTGATGGCTGAGCTGATGATGTCAGCAAATTAACAAGGGCACTCTCTTAATGAGGAAAACCTGGTCCCATTCCCATGCAAGCCACATCTTTATTATACCGCTACTAATAAAACTTCATACGCAATAAAATGTCTATGCCAAAAAGCACTTAGAAAACAAAAAGCACAACAACCTCATTTTCAGAGATTTACACATGTTCCTCAATAGCTGCGGCAGGTGGAGATATTTCAAGCCTGGAAAATGTTCGCTAACCAAAACTTTAATTAGAGCTATGATTACACTGTGGTCTGCTGTTTGTATATGTGGATGTAATCACAGAAGCTTGGGGGACTATTAGCAATCCCTAACAGTCTCTCGACTAAAGACTGCTGGTGCTCACATATTGCGGATGGAGCATCAAGTGGTAATTCGCATGAGTGTCCCGGTCACCTCTAGCTCTACCATTGCAGAAGGTATTTTTGTGTTATTTCACGTACAATGCTTTCCACGCACTGAGATCGTAGAATGGGATCATAGTTGAGAGGGACCACGTGGATCACCTTTAAACCCCTTTGTGGCTTAGGGCCCTCGTATTTACGGGACCGCCTCTCCTGGTATGCCCTGCAGAGGACCTTAAGGTCCATGAATAATCATAGTTTAGAGGTCCCAGGCTCTAAGGAAGTCAGATTATCCGCCACCAGGGCCAGGGCCTTCTCAGTGATGGCTCCGACCTGGTGGAATGCTCTGTCCCATGAGACCAGCGCTCTGCAGGATTTAACTTCCGCAGGGCCTGTAAGACAGAGCTATTCCACCCGGCTTTCAATTTGAACTTAGCCTGATCTTTTATTCCCCTTCCTTCCTTCCCCCTCTCCTTTTTATGAAGATTACCCGCTCTGGGATCCCACAGCTAATTCTCCCCTGGTCTCCTCGCTGGCCCAAATAGGACTAATCTAGCCAGCTAGCCCTGGTGATCATCTAATGTTTATTGGATGGATTCCCCCCTTAAATTGATTTTTGAATTCTGAATTTATTGTTATTCACATTTTATACTGTATTTTATGCTGTTTTTTTTTGTTGCATCAATTAAGTGTTTTAAATTTGTTGTTAGCCACCCTGAGCCTGGTTTTCTGAACTGGGAAGGGCGGGGTATAAATAAAAATGTATTCATTTATTTATTTATCTATCTATCTTGTCCAACCCCCTGTAGTGCAGGAATATTTTGTCCAACGTGGGGCTCAAACCCACAATCTTGAGATTCAGAATCTCACGCTCTACTGACTGAGCAATCCTGGTCTTCAAGGGTGTCATGATCAGATCCAGAAAACTGAAGTGTCGATGTCAGCCTCCTCCCAACCTGGTGGCCTTCCTGATGTTTTGGGCTACAATTCCCAAGGGTCATCTTGTCCAATGCAGAAATCACAGCTAAAGAATCCATGACAGAGGGCCTCCCAACCTCAATGTAACAAACTTCAAGGAAGGAGAGTCCACCACCTGCCAAGGGAGACCGTTTCCCCTGCTAAACAGCTCTTACCACCAGAACGTTCTTCCTAATGTTTAGTCAGAATCTCCTTTCTTGTAACTTGTATCCGTAGGTTTGGGTACCATCCTCTGGAGCAGCAAGAGGCTCGCTCCATTTTCCATGCGACAACCTTTCAAATGATTGAAGATAACTATCACATCACCTATCCCCAGGGCTGGATTTAGGTCTGATGAGGCCCTAAGCTACTGAAGGTAATGGGGCCCTTTATATGACCAGCTGTCCTTTGTCAACAAGAAATGGTCCCTGGTTTTGTTTGCTGAATATATGCTATATGGTAATTTATGGACCTAATAGGTATCTCAAGCCATTTGCACACGTTGCCATGCAAGTAGTCCATGCAGAATGGAGGCACCCTATATACAGAAAGGAGCAAACCAGTGATATTTTAGGGAGCAGGCTAGCAGGCGGGGCCCATGACCTACATCATAGGAGCCTACACAACACAAAACACTGTTGCTATATGTAGGTTTTATTTTATTTGTTATTTATCTTCTATTTTGGAAATGTACATCCACTTTTTTTTCCTTTTAAATTTTTTTGGGGCCCCCAAGAGAGTGGCCCCTAAGCTATAGCTTGGTTAGCTTACACGTAAATCCGGCACTGCCTATTCCCACCCCATACATCAGCGTATGCCTGAATGTGATTTGGGTCATGTGTCTGTGGGCTTTCCCTTCTCTAATCCATCACATGCTTGATTCAGAAGACACACACTAGCTTCATTTCCCCATTTGAGCATGCTGAAAATGGTTTCCACCTTCCTCTTTTTCCTCTCCTGTGCCATTTTTTCTGCTGTTGTGTATTTATTGCTGCCCTTTATCAGTCGCCTGGTTTTAATGAAAAATCGCCCTAGGTGACATATAGCAACATGGGAAACTTAAAGGGGGGGAAATCACAACAATTCCGTTAGGTAGGTTAAGCAGGGGACGTGGGTGGTGCTGTGGTCTAAACCACTGAGCCTCTTGGGTTTGGCAATCAGAAGGTCGGCGGTTCGAATCCCCGCAACGGGGTGAGCTCCCGTTGCTTGGTCCCAGCTCCTGCCAACCTAGCAGTTCGAAAGCATGTCAAAGTGCAAGTAGATAAATAGGTACCGCTCCGGCGGGAAGGTAAACGGCGTTTCCGCGCGCTGCTCTGGTTTCTGTGTTCCGTTGCACCAGAAGTGGCTTAGTCATGTTGGCCCCCCGGAAAAACTGTCTGTGGACAAACGCCGGCTCCCTCGGCCTGTAAAGTGAGATGAGTGCCACAACCCTAGAGTTGTCTGCAACTGGACTTAACTGTCAGGGATCCTTTACCATTACCTTTCTAGGTTAAGCAGAGGTTGACTTGCCCAAGTAAACTCCATGGCTGAGCAGGGATTTGAACCCCAGTCTCCACAGTCTGACCCCCACCACAATATACACTACATCCTCAGTCGCTGCAACCCATGAGAGTTGCAAGCAACACTCTCCTCCAGTGAGTCCTATAGTGCCCAATGGGACTTGATTCCCTAAAACTGGGTTTAGGATTACAGCCTGTGTTTTGTAGGCCTCTCCAGATGGGTTGTCTGCCACCATTAAATCCCCCATAAGGCTGTAAATGGAAATGAGGAACCCAAAATGAAGCAACATTTATAAGCTCAGTAACCCACAGGCCAGAGTGCAGCGTCTCATTCAAGAGATTGTTCTCTTTCCATCACGCTTCCAGTTACCCACTTAAAGTCTAGGCCATCAATTAAAGAACAGATAAGGGTTTGGTTCGTTTTCTTTCTCTTTTTTTTTGCATCCCAGTCACTTGAAGTCCATCAGTCCCTTCCTTTTAAAACGAAGGTGGTTTCCTGGTGAAGACAACCCTCAAGAAACAGAGCAACTCAGAACTGTAAACCAACATTTAAAAGAAGTATATATATACCCCACATATGGTTTTAACAGCTGTGGTTTTAAATTACCTTTGGGGCCTAATAATGTTTACTGAATGGTCTGAATGCTTTAAAAACCTTGGCTGTTCCCTCCAGCAGATTTCAAACTGACACACAAGTGTTTGGTCCTTAAAGCCGCAAAAATTCCTTTCTACTGCCCACCTCTCCGCATTCGGCGCAGCTATGCCTCAGTCGTTGACCATGTTTGGCCAGTTATGATTTAATATTTTGCCCGCCAGTTTCCTTGCTGGAAACCGGGCAGGGGTCGGAGGCTGCTGTGCAGAACAAGCGAATAAATAAATCCTGGTAGACCACTGAGGCCCACTGGCATCGCTCCTGCTCTTGGAGTTGCAGCCTTTCCTAACAATGGGAAGCTTTCCGGTTGAGGACAGCCATGGAAGGGAAAGAGAAAAACGTTGAATAATTCAAAGCCATCGCTGCTCAAGCCCGATGCAGGTTTAAAAATAGTCACAAGGCACCACAGTGTATAGCGTTTTCATCGCAGACTTCACTTGAAGCCTTTTTTATTATTTGTTTTGACGCAAAGGCATTTGTTCGGCAGAAAAGGCCCTAGCTTGGTGCTCTGCAGGCAGAAGGTCCCAGTTGAAATCTCTGGCATCTCCTGGTAATTCTGGAGAGAGACTGCCTGTCAGCATACTGAGCTAGGTGGACCAATGGGTATGACCGATTACAAGCTAATATTAAAACTAACACAGGTATTCCTTACCTAGGTCTGGTGGTGGCTCATGGGGCCGAGCCCCAAGTCTGGCTCGAATGGCACCATGGCTTGGAAGCAGGTGTGGAGGTTAAGCAAGCCTTCACAATTTAGTGTTGGAAGCTCAGATGTACAGTGGTACCTCAGGTTACAGACGCTTCAGGTTACAGACATCGCTAACCCAGAAATAGTACCTCGGGTTAAGAACTTTACCTCAGGATGAGAACAGAAATCATGCTCCGGTGGTGCAGCGGCAGCGGGAAGCCCCATTAGCTAAAGTGGTACCTCAGGTTAAGAACAGTTTCAGGTTAGGAATGGACTTCCGAAACAAATTAAGTTCTTAACCTGAGGTACCACTGTATAAGCTAGGCGCCAAATGGTTCCTTAAACCAAGGTTGCAGTTGCCAAAACAAAATCTCTAGTTGCCATTTTGGGGCAAGATAGTTCTAAAGGCTTCTTTTTCAAATGATGGACTAATAATAATAATAATAATTTATTTATACCCCGCCCATCTGGCTGGGTATCCCCAGGCACTCTGGGTGGCTCCCAACAGAATATTAAAACCACAAAACATCAAACATTAAAAACTTCCCTAAACAGGGCTGCCTTCAGATGTCTTCTAAAAGTCAGATAGTTGTTTATTTCCTTGACATCTGATGGGAGGGCGTTCCACAGGGCGGGTGCCACTACCGAGAAGGCCCTATGATTAAGTCTCAGTTAAACATATGGCTAGTTCAGATGACAACCTTGAGCTAGGTTAAGAGGTTTGACAGCTTAAAGATAAGTCACCCAATCCAAGGACAGTCCACATATATATATATATTGGCCTATTCCAAACTATTTTTCTTAATGGTGACCACAGACCAACCATAACGTAGGAATCACCTTCACAATTGTGAGCAGGGCAGTGGGAGAGGGAAGTGAAGACAAGCTACAACAATTAACTATGATGTTCATTACTGCTCCAGCTCTGGCTGCACTTTGTACTTTGGTTCCAGAAATTCATTCTGATTGTACAGATAAAATATAAGTGTTGGAATTGTACAGGATGGAGTATTAGGATCCCCAAATGGTGAAAATGCCAGGCCCCATCCTGGCATCCGGGCAGCTTGACTTGGTCGCAAGTGGTCGAAATCTGAGTGCAAAATGCGCCTGACTAATTTCGAGTCCTGATTCAGATCCCAAAGTGGAAATTATGTTGTTCATCAACCACCTTTTATTCCCAGAGCTCAGTGGAGATGCCATGTTGCTGTGAGGTTTACATATGCCACGATCTCTTCATAAAGGGGAGCCACTGGTGGAGGAAGGGGGGTGCAGTAGGTGTGGTCTGCCCCGGGTGGCATCCCTGAGGGGGGTGACATCGCTGCCCCGCCCCCTGGGACACTTGCCCCACCCCCGTGGCTGGCTAGCCCCGCCCCTAAGTGCTGCAGGTGCTGGAGCATCGAGATCCGCCTCTGCAGGGAGGTGTAAGTAAACAGCCCTGAAATTGCTTTGAGTGCCACATTGCCCACCTTGAAAACACACAAAGGCTGGATCAAGACAAAGGTCCATCTCCTCCATCGTCCTGCTTGCAGGGTGGCCAAGAGATGCCCCAGGAGAAAGCCCACAAAAACAACTTGAACGCAACAGGCCCCTCCCTGTTAGCAAATCACTCCTCTGTTGCTGATGTGTGGCTAGAAAGCCACATGTCACTGTTTACTTTCCTGAGCTGGGAAAGTCTGAGGGCGGAAGTTACGTCTTATCTCTTCCGTTATGTCGTGCTGTTGCGCTGTGTTTCTCTCTCTCTCTGCCTGCTGCTGAAGAAGAGAGCAGATGCCATTATGCTCTGTCCTGTAAATATTGCTTAATAAATCCTTAGGACGTTTCCGAGCACAATTCAAAGTGCTGGTGTTGACCTTTAAAGCCCTAAACGGCCTCAGCCCAGTATACCTGAAGGAACATCTCCACCCCCATCGTTCTGCCCCGAGGCTGAGGTCCACCTCCAAGGGCCTTCTGGTGGTTCCCTTGCTGTGAGAAGCAAAGCTACAGGGAACCAGGCAGAGGGCCTTTTTGGTAGTGGCACCCACCCTGTGGAATGCCCACCCACCAGATGTCAAAGAGAACAACAACTACCAGACTTTTAGAAGACATCTAAAGGCAGCCCTGTTCAGGGAAGTTTTTAATGGGTGACATTTTAATGTATTTTTAATCTTTGTTGGAAGCCGCCCAGAGTGGCTGGGGAAACCCAGCCAGGTGGGCGGGGTACAAATAATAAATTATTATTATTGCTACTACTACTACTACTTAGGATGCTCACATTCACGCTTCCAGTCATCACTGCTAACTCTGCTGATTAATAGCATGCACAGGATCATCCGACCTGTGTCCATCTCCCCTGGGGTGGACATCAATGAAGAGTGATGTCCATCAAGGGGGAGCGCAACACTGGACAACACCTGGAGAGGTTTGTCTCATACCGGGGCAGTGCCCCCCCCCCAGGGCGTGTTACAAACACTCCCCCCTTTGGATCCTTAGCAACTGGTACTCACAGGTACGTCAACAGCACAGGCAGAACATAAGCCACCATGGCCAGTAGCCCTGACAGCCTTCACCTCCATGAATTTCTCTACTTCCCTTTTAAAAGTCATCCAAGTTTGTGGCCATCACTACCTATTATGGGAGAAACGGAGAAACTCCCCAAAGTGTGGTTCTATCCTGCCCTATTTATTTATTTGCATTCCACAAAATTGACAAAATAGTTAACAACTAAGTGCTGCTGAATCCAACCCAGAAATCTGGAAAGTCGCTTGAGGGATGTGTACAATTCTATATGTACAAACCTATGCATAAATGCTCATCAGGAAGTCCATCTTTCTTTTTAAAGTGCAGGTAAGCAACTTTAACCTGTTGCAGGATCTTAGCCAGACCCAGCTGAATATAGTAGAGCATACACAGACTTCCAGAAGCAATCAGTTGCAGGCAGGAAGGATGAAGCAGGAACAAGACGCTGCTACCAGTAACTCGGTTACTTAGAGGTGTTTATTATTTACAGCAGACTCCTACAAGTTACTATATACAAGATACACACACGGATCTTGAACTCTCTCTCTTAACAAACTCCAAACACCTCTCAGAACACCACTGACCAACAAACTATCCAGCAAGGAAGGTCGTGAGTCATCAGGCCTATGTAGAGACCTCGACCTATAGTTGAGCTGTATCCAAGGTCCCATATCTCTAGGCAGAATCACTCCCTCTGCTCAGACTTCTTGGCCTTTGGCCAACTCTTAATTGCTTTGTGAGAAGCTGCATCAAACGGCACGTAGACAAAATATCCCAACACGTAGATCTTCTGTTGAAACGTAAGATATGAAGTCCCACCAAATCAAAGTGTGGCAAAGATCCTGCTCAGTTGGTTAGAACGTGGTGTTGATCATGCCATGGTTGCAGGTTCAGTTCCCGTAAGGGACACTTGAATATTTCTGCATTGCAGGGGGGCTGGACTAGATGATCCTCGGGATCTCTTCCAACTCTATGATTCTATGCCAAAGATCTTTTCCCTTTGAGTACACAACTTTTGTGGGTTATTTGTTCAGCCCATGCATTTTTATGCCATAATGCAAGAGACAACTCGCGTGAAAATTTTCATTTCTGTGCAATAGACAGCTTGGCAGGTGCCAATAACCAAGGTAATAACAATGCACAAATACATTTTGTGACCATGTATACTCAGATGCTGAAGGTACTTTGACCCCACTCCAATCATCACACTTGGAAACGTTAGAGCCACCTTCCTCATAATGCTTTTTTAAAAGTTGCGATAGACTTTCAGGTCTCCTGCAAGGCAGGAATCTCGTGCTTATCAGTGCCTCTGGGGAGCTGAGAGGAACGGCATGTGGAAGGCTTCAGGAAGAAGAAGAGAAGCAGCTCTCTCTTTGCAGAAACTTTAGAAGAACATTAAATCACTAAACTCTTGGATGTGGAAAAGTGTGGAGCGCAGAGACGAGAAACGGATGCGAAGGCAGGAGATCTTTCGGATAACAAAGCTTTTAAGCCTCTCGCCAATGAAATAAAAGCCGAGAACTCTCAAACTTATTTTTCTTAGCCGGAGTATATCTTGCATCTGGTGAGCTGGAGGTTTTTAGCTGGGGGGGTGGGGGTGGAGGAGTCAGGGAGAGAAGTACCCATGACACTGACCTGATCTGCACATGGTAAGCCAAAGTGGGGGTGTCTAACTCATGGAATTCTCTCCAGGCTACAAACCCTCCCCTGCTCTGCAGCCCCCTTGGGTGCTTCTGGCTGGCTACAATGTGCCCTTGAGTTCGGCTAATGCCTCTTCCTCACTTGGGTAGAGGGACACGGGTGGAGCTGTGGTCTAAACCAAGGAGCCTAGGGCTTGCTGATCAGAAGGTCGGTGGTTCGAATCCCCGCAACGGGGTGAGCTA